ACTGACGGGTATGCGATGACCGGTACTGTGTACCAGTTGAAGCTGTCTTCTCTGATGCAGAAGCTACCCTCATTTCATTAGTTATTCTAGTCCTCCAGTTTTCACGATCTTTCTTAAAGCCTTTCCTGTGCCGAATTTACCGACTCCACCATTTTCTCTGTTGATCTCGTCAGATTGGGATCTTTCACTTCCATTCTATCAAGACTATTAAATCTTGAGAGATCCAGTGTCTTGGGCACATCTCGGATTTAGCCCCATAGGCCACGTTTTCTGTCGGTCGCGCTGAATAGCGCACATTGACCAGGGAGTTTTCAAAGTTGAACCTCACCACTTTCACCCCGTATGAGAGGCAAGAAGGTTTCTTGCAATCCTGCTCATAATATCGCGCTCATAGCGGACGAATCTTTTTCAATGCAACTTTTTGAATAGCACTTCTTGTGTTTGTTGCACGTCCTAGTCTGTTGATCAGTGAAAGTAGTGATCCCTAGCATCGTTACGATGTATGTGAGCCGGCAACCGTAACTGTGAGAAAAGGTTTGAAGGACGGCCTAAAACCTTTTTGAAATTGACATTTTATCCATCTGATCAAGCTGTTCACTCTAGCAGCATCAAGAGCGTAGCTGATTTCGAACTCTCGATCACACATGGATCGTTCTACTCACCGTGGAAGGCAATCTAAACTACTTGAGAGAAGCAGCTTATGTATCCATTCACTTCTTTTAAGTTACTCGTTATTCCCTTGGTAAAATCCTCATCTAATCAGAATTTTCTTAAATTTCCTCATTTTTCGCATTGAAAGGAATCTCTGGAAAAATAACGGAAATCACCTAGGATTGGGTGATTGTTGGAGTGTATACGAACGCTTATTTCCAAAGAGATCGGACCGTCAGATCCGTACTTTGTATCGTTCGATAAATATGGGGAATGAGCAATTAATATTATTATATTTCACACGTCTCAGTTCACACTATGTACGAAACAAATCATGTCACAATAATCCTCATAAAAAAAGTGCATGATTTTCTCGATGGCGTAATACTGTTAGGTTGCCCATTGCAAAGCAGACGAATTTTCTTGGAGAATTCACAACCGGAGCCTTCGGCTAGTCAAAGCCTGATTCACAAAGTAAACGCCGGTGTGTGAAAACCGCAATCCATTGGAGGCTAGTATCCAGTTCATCAGATCATATTCCCTTTAGACGGGGTCAAGAGTCAAAGGTGCCCAGTACACCTCGATGCCTAAACTGAGCCGATGACCACTGCCACAACCAGGAAGGTGTGTGTGTGGTTCGTACGCTTTTTTTGATTGGTTTGGAATCAGGGTGTTTAGGCAACTCCCCTGGGTGAAGTACCGGTGATTTACCAACCCGGTCCTCTCACTTTGGCGGGAAAACACCTTTCCACGTGAAATCTGTCAGTAAGGCTTCTTCAGCAGAAGCTTTTTGTGGCGCTTGCTCGTATGGGAGCATTTAACGATGTACAAGGGAGGGGTGACCTGCCTCAACTCGAGACTCGCACTTCTAACCGGCTTTTGGAGGTTTTGAGCAATCACGTAATGAAAGTTTGATAGTTTGCATCATTTTCGGTCAATCTGTTTGGTCTCTGGATCCAGTCCTCCTGAGAAAAGGACTGTCATTTTCAACAATCTTACCTGATTGCACACCCATCCAACTCTTATAGGCGATTAATTTGACTACTTTAGTCGACTGATTGACGGACCTTTAACGCGTGGTTCCGTCAGGACTCCGTCGTAGTCTTTGTTTCTTGCATGAATGCAAACTGATAGCAGTGATCTGTTTTGGACTATAAACCAACGGCTGTTTGGCTCAGCTGATGGATTGAATTGTTGATTGAGTGATGGGGCAAGACCAACTGCTTATGTTTTTTTTGGTCCAGCTACCGGGTAGGACGGATCGGAAGCATGGGGAAAAAGTGATCCTTGTGCCAGAGGTGTAGCCTCTGTTTTCTCTATCTCTTCTTCTGTGTGTTGGTATTTGTCTGTTCGTCTCGTACGTTTCTCCGCACCCGTGTGAGTGTGTCGGCGGGCGGGCGGACGGACGGACGGACGGACGGAGAAGATATGCGGTCTGCTTTGGGGATGGTGGTCCCGTTTAAAATGCGCTATCGTTTGCTATTTTGGGGCCAGTCAGATTCTCATTCAGTTGGATGTGTATGGTGGTGGGCAGAGTTTATTTATTATTTTTTCTGCAGATTCAAATGAACTATATTCATCTCTGCTCTGTCCGCTCCTCCCAGTGCGAACCGGGAAAACGACTATCTCTCTGTCCCGTCAAGCTGGACTTGTGTGTGTTTGAGTTTGTGTCAAACGGTCTATTACATTTCTTTCCAAAATGCAGTTGAATAGTGCGCGCCCCTGTCATTGCTCAACATGCGTTCTAATGAAAAATGAAACTGGTTATTTATTGGTTATTGTTTCTACTCGTAAATCTTTCACCCGTCCCTAGCTTTTGTCCGTTCAGTGTGGGTGGAACAATATTTGTTCTCCCATAACAAATTGCACTGATTCATCTTCGTCTAGTCCGATTTATCTTTCACTGATCGCTCGCGCGACTCGTGTGAATATGTATGGCTGGGAGCGAGAGAGGGGTTTCAGATGAGCACGATAGAAGCAGTGCAAATCATATTTCTCTTCTTCTTGTTCGCTTGGATCCACCCGGTTCTCTGATAATTTTCCTCATTCGGAACGGATTTCACGAGATAGACGGAGCAGTTTTGATTTTGGAACTACGTACAGTGCACAGTTGGAGTTGGATCTAGATTTGTGCTGTGGTGGTATTTCAACGTAGTTCAGTAGTTTACCGTCATCCTCATTAAAACTACTACTATTACAGTTTGTCTTGTTGATTTACTTTTCTCAGATTGGTTTCATTTTCAGTTCACACAACCATCAACTTTTCAACTCGTTCCAGTGCGATCAACGTATGATCGAGTAGACTGATGAGGTCGAGAGCGGTGACCATAATCGGAATAAAGACCTCGATGTACTCAGAAATGGAATCGTTCAGGATTTGCTTATCACGGATCTTCAGTTGGTAGACAGATTTAATGTTCCTCGAACGAAGGATAAATTGGGTTCAGATGGCACTCACTGTACGTTATATAGCCCATATTGAATTAGTTATAAAAATGGTTCAAATTCTAGCTTGACTTCCTTCTCTCCTACTTGAGGTTCGCGGCTCTTATTGAGCCGTCGCCTCGCTTCTGAGCTCAATGGGAACTATGTGTGGCCAATTTTCTGTGAGATTTCAAATGGATAGAGATCGCAGGCAGATACAGAATTGCTCTTCTGGTCGATCGAAACGAGCGCTTCTTGCCTAGCTCCCGATACTTATGTGGCAAAAAAGAACACAACTAGAAACGATAGTCAGAGTGTATTCTGTGATCAAGGTATGACACGCGTATGTGAAGCGCAAATCGAATGTACGAGAGCGACTCAGATCGCGTCCTTGATTCGGCCGTCGCTCAATCGGATTACCATTGTCCGACGGCTTCCACAGTCATCCACTCCGAGCTCGATTTGCTCTTGGTATCTCGAGTGTGCATGTGGCGTAGCGTGACCCCTCTGTGCGGCCTGTTCGGTTCCATACTTTTCGTCCTAACAGTGCACATAACAAATAGAGCGTGTCGTTCACAGTTCTGTGCAACTTTGTGCCTGATACGGCGACGAATCAGTCTATCAGCTACCGCGATCTACCATGGTAACCACTGATCCTATTCACGTATCGTCCGATCGGTGTTTTTCTTTTACCTATCCTGGTGAATTGTGGAGCTATTCACGATTGATTCGGATCTATAGGATTCAATGCTTACAGTTGCTAGTCCACTTTATACTTACCACGCTCTGCTTTTCAGGTGTGACCTTAGTCCCGTGTTCGGTCTTTATCCCACGAATCACGCATGAATAATTCTTCGTTTTAACGACGTTGCACAATGTGCTCCTATTTCCCATCTAATTGGCACAAAATTCGTCATTGTGTGTGTGTGTTTGTGCGGTTCAGCTTATCGCCCTCTGTTTCAACGTGTACAGGTGGTGTACAGAGACATCTCTGGTAAACACAAGATGAGTAGCAATGATCCAAACGGCTACCTGTTCGAAACAATCCAGATAGAAGAACGGTTTGGTAGAAGGTTGTCGGCTGAAAATAGCATAGAGTGAGGCAATGTGTGATTGAAAGCAAAGATAACAGTGTTGGTTCGTGTCTGTTGTGTGTCTGCACGCGTGCCTATAGGCTAGCATCAGCAGCGAAGGGCAATGAAGTGACTATCAATCGACATGGCACCGTTTATTGCAATTCTATCGATGGGATTCTGCACACGCACACACACACCGCCACCACAACTACACCAAGAAATACTGGAAGAATTCAATAGGATTGCTTCTCTCATTATTTAGAAAGAAAATATCGGGAAATAGGCTGCTGCAGTTTTAACCAGTTACAACTGGGGAGAATCCTGAACACAACTCGATTGAAAATAGCTAAAATAGCTCTGTGGAATCGATTAACGATGGGAATTAGTGCAGTTATCGGAAATCGATCACTAGTGAAGCCGTGCTTTATGCAATTTTGTAGTGTATTCCAAGTGTCTGACAACAAACCAATGTATTGTATCTGCCCAATGCTCATAGTTCATTTACTTGGGTGATTTTTCAGACAACACAATAAGATCTCGTTAATGCATTTTCTCTCTTCCTCAAAACTCTGTATAATCCAAGATTTTTGTCCCCTTTTTATACATGGTTAAAGCGATTCGATTTTTGTGCTTGTGTACGACCTTCAAAATCTCGGAAGCGTTCAGTCACTCGTTTCTGTGTATTGCTGTTTTATCACTCACGCGTATCTCTCGACCCATCCCCCGGCCCTTGTCGTTTTCGTTGATCTAAGAACTGTTCGATGTATTTTTGTGTTCTTTCAGAAGTACAGCCTAGACAGCAGTGGTTGAACACCGAAGATCCTAGCGTATTTTCAGTCCGTGATAAACATGTACCCCTCCCGGACTGAAGTAAGCTCATTTTCCCCATGTTTTGTATTGTTTAGCATTCGGGTCTGATGTATCGATTGCACTTTGTAGCATCAGGTTAATTGCATTCAGTTTTCTGACGAATCTAGAACGGTGAGCTTAAACTGTACGAGTCATCAAATCATCTAGTCTATGTTGCACCGCCTCGTAGTTCTAACGTACCACCTCATTCGTATTGACCACTCACCAAACATGTCCTTTATCTTCCCTAATCAACAAAAGGTACTCATACAAATTTGATTTTTTTCACCCCAGCTCGTTGTAGGCTTAAATTTATTTCATTCTTGTCTGGGTTCATGTTATGGATTTATGATAAAGGAATCTATGCACGATTTCCTCCTGGGTCCAGTATTGCCAGGTTGCCCGAGCTAAAACCATGAGATTCCTTTTGGATGCACAACGTCAGTGTTCGACTCACGAAAGCCCTACTCACGCTCGAGGCAGCATGATGGGATGAGAGGAGCGTAGTTCACTGGAAACCCATGTCTGGTCTCCCGCATCTGGCACTCCACAGACGTTGCTCATACACGAGATTCTGACTTGTCGCTTTCCTCATTTTATGAACGCATCCTCTCCACGATTTGGCTGTTTTCTGTATGCGATTATGCTAGAAGATGCTTTTGCAGTGACACCCCGATAGGGCATTGATCGGGGGTGGGCCCGCTCACTCTCCGACGGATTTCGGGTCATCGTTTAACGGCTTCGAAACCAGCCCGTGATTCGTGCAATCTGACATGGATTTGTGGTTGATCCGTTAAACCCCCTCCCTATCTGGAAATCTCCAGGCAAATCACAGTAATTAGAAACCTTGATTTGACCAATCCTTTCCATTTAACTTGATAAATTTTTAGTGCTGTGTATGGCACTTTATCCTCACAAATGCTGTGTGAGCAGAATACACTCACACTGTGGTTTGTTCTCCCCCAAAAATATCAGTGTAGCGTGAAGCAAAGCACTCTATTGTTGACGTCCATTGTGAACACTTGATGCGATCCATTCAGTGATTCTCTATTCTGGATTGATGAGATAATGTTTTTCTTTGAGATTTTTGATCAAGATGTTGGTAATTTGTTGGAAACTTATCCGTCTAAGAGGGGAATGTCCAGAAGCAGAAGTGTATGGATAAAAATGGTGACATTTGGTTAGATTGATTGATCATTCATCTCAAAAACATTCGATAGATTTTCGGTATAAGATAAAAACAGATCGATCGACGGAAGGTCAATTCAAACAAACATGAGCACACAGACCTCAAACTGGACATGGCCAATCACATGAGCGACTGAGAAATGTCGCGGCGCTATGAGATGGAACTAAGGATTCGTCATTAAAACAGACCTACGGTGGGTGGTGTAACGAAAAAGAAAAAATGGTGTCAGTAACATGATTTATTTTGTTTATCCATTCGGAAAAGAAACATAATTATAGGTTAGAGTTGACTGTGCTATCAGGACGAACTTGGTTGAATCGTCCGATCTGAAATATACACTTTGTGGGGCAGGTCATCCATCAATCAAGGTGTTGAAATAACTAATAAGTAATAATAATAAATAAATAAATAAATAGATAGTTGAATTCCCCGGAAAAAAACAGGTGAACTGCATCTCTGTATTCGCGTCTAACTCACAGTTACTTGTGAGTAATGGTGTGGGATAATTGATGATTGATTTGGACTTCATTTTCACGCACAGTCCTCAGTTCATCCCGTCAACCATACACTCGGAAGCATTAGACTACTTGAATTTTATTCTTGTTATAGCTCACCAGTAGTGCATACCCACCGTCCCGTATCTCCTTATTGTTTTTATTATTCTCTGGTGGTGTACGGATTTCAGGCCATTCATCCTCCGCCGAACTCTCCAACTCAACGATGGACAAGCTTTAACAAGTTGTGGGTTTACTATGCAAACACTCCAATTTCCCCCTTTCTCGAGGTAGAATGCACTCCGCAGACTCTTTTTCAGAGCATAACATCGGATTTAACTGACCCCGATCAGTCTATGTTTGATGAACTAGATTGCTCCGATGGAACGGTTCTGCGGGTCAGTCCCGATAGCGCAGTCTACTCTGACCTATAATTATGTCTCATTTCTGACCGAATTACCAAAGGAAATTATATGTTTCACACACACATACTTGTTCACAACCACACCCACCTGCTGCCGTGTGTATGCGTATATTTGTTGA